TTGACAGTAATGCTATTGCTCCGACATAATATATAAACTTCAGCCTTTGGCTCATCACTAACAGCTACGCCTTAGAAAAATGTTTCAAATTTTTTTTAAAATCCGCGTGAATTTCCTTCTTTTATTATAAAAGGGGCAAGAGTCTCACCTGATTGAAAGAGTACCGAGAGCTTTTTACGCCGGCTTTTTCTCTCGGCCTACACCCTCTGTCTTCTTTGCCGATGAGTAGGGATGCCTACAGATTCAAATTTAATGACGTGGAATAAGTGATACCTGTATATGTTCCATAATAAACATATTTTATTATTTTTTATTTTTTTTTTTGATAAAAAAATAACGCATATGCACACTCTCATTCCAGGAATCTCGCAAGTGCGAAACCGACTTCTCAATAACTCTAAAATTATAAAAAACAATTCAATATTTAAACAAAAACTGCCAACCCTACCATACCTTATGGTTATACATAGATAGATATTGCAATCTATTTAATATTGTTTATGGCTGTGTGCTCATAACTCGATTGGTTTAGTCCAACACTAGCGGCTTTCTGCAGCTTTGCACCGATATTGCAAGCTGTACGTTTAGCTTTAGTTCAGGTTGTAAATTAATCCACAACTTCCATACTCCAAGTATTAACTAACTCAAATGGAGGATTTAATTTTATATTATAATCATTGAAGATACTAAATAAATAAAATCTAAATTAACTCGTGTAACCTCTGGGTGAAAAGGTGCCCTTTAAATGACCTTTTAATAAAAGATTTTACCTGAAATAATTATAGAAAGAACATTTAAAATTAGTTATTATATATATTTCATAAAAGTTCTTCGAAATAATTATTATAATCCAATTCCTAATTAAACTCCGAAAATGTTCTAACATAAATTCTTCTTGTAAAAATTCAAATGACAAGCCAAAACTCGCGTCTTTTTCCACAGACTAACAAACTCTCAATATTACAATTAAATAAAACGTCAGTTTTGACACATGATAGATATTAACAATCTAAAAGAAATATTATTATTTCTTTACATAATATATAGAAATAAATTATCATTGTCTTGATTGATTGTTCTATTAAAGTAGACTGATTTTTGTTCAAAAAACAATATCATGAAAGTATATAACGCAAACAGTCCAACTAATTTTATCAGTTTATCCAAAGATAAAATCACAAAGAAAACTATTCTAGTTGAAAACAAATCTAAAGCCATCAAAGCAACATCACCTAATTTATACGCGAAATAAAACTCGACCAAAAAGCCCCGATTGTAGATAGAATGTTGCCACAGTGTACTTACTAATTGTTTGTTAGTAAAAATAAAGTAAAGGCATATTTCAATAAAAAATTAACTTATGTATTGGCTCTTAACGATTCACTTGTGCTTAATATCGAAGAGTTATTAAGAGGTTCGAAAACAACAGGTCAGAATCGCACTTGCGAGCCTTCTAGCAGTGTGTGTGTCCATGGGCCGTATTACTTAACATCATGTAAGCCTCTTTCCCTTATAATAAAATAAGGAAATACACGCGGATTCCTTTAAATTTTTTTTTAAATAAGAAACGATGTTTTGTAAGTGGCTTGGTTTCTTTGTTCTATGAAACAAAACAAACTAGAACTGACTTGCATTACCAACAAATTTGTGTCTATCGCCTAATAGAACCCTTTTTTACATATTAATACACCTTAACCATCATTACACAAGTTACAAATGTTTAATTAATAATTTTAACCTTAACAAAGCGTTTAACTTTCAAACTCAATATTTTTTTTCGTGGAAAATTCCCAAATAACTACCAATCATATTGCCAAATATGAACCTAATTATAGGCCAAGCGATTACTTTATTATTTTTAATTATGAGTGATTTTAAGTTTTTATTTACCTCTGTAATTAACAGACCATAGACTATGTATGGGTTGTGGCAACATCGTTTACGAGACCAATAAAATGGACGAATCTTTTACGTTCTGTTTACAACGATACCACTTTACGACCGTTAGTCACTTTGGGCTTAACCTCACCTGATTCTTATGCTGATTTCATGCCAACAACTGATGTCCATAACAGGAATCTATCATAGACTACCTCCTTTGCTAAACAATAATAATGGGTTTCATACATTTCCATACATATTCTGTGGGTAGATACATACGCTCAGAAACTGCTAACACTATTGATTTAATACAATTGACTAAACAATGATTATAGTACTATACTTTGTCTTTACTTAAAATATAGAAACGAAATTGTATTTCATCTGTAATAATTTCACCTTTAGGAGATAATATATTTCGCCTTTAGGAGATTTCTACAAAACTTACAATAATATAATTATTCAAATATCTACATTTACCGTAATACCACAAGCGCTGCGAAAATTATTTATGGCACTTAAAGTAATGAATTAAATTTATAATAATTATGATTATAAGATAAAATTATATATAACTAGTTAGTGACAACAATCAATACATTTCTAACTTAATACAGGTAAAATCTTACAAGATTACTTTTTTTTAAATCATGTCAAAGTCAAAGTCTAAAACCATTTATTCTTATATGTAACACAATGTACACTTATGAACGTCAAAAAAGAAATATACATTAAATGCTTCTAATTTTACATTTACTGCCAGTTCTCAGAAGAGCGTAGAACGGAAGAGAAGAACTCGCAATAAACTCTCCGCCACTCTTTTTAATCGCCAAGTTTTTAGGTAACACAATGTACACTTATGAACGTCAACAAAGAAATATACATTTAATGCTTCTAATTTTACATTTACTACCAATTCTCAAAACCAGGGCGTAGAACGGAAGAGAAGAACTGGCAATAAACTCTTCGCCACTCTTTTTAATCGCCAAGTTTTTTGTTTTACACAACGTTTGTAAGGAACTGCGAACATTACACTATGTTCCTGATGACATCTTAAGTAATAAACAATAATAAAATTAATTAAAAACAAAGATTTGTCCTCTAGTCAGCAGGAGGCATGGTGAAATAGGAGCACGCACTTACATACTGGTGGGAACAACTCGCAAATACATAGTCGATGTGTACAGTATTTACAATATGCTTTACATACATAGTAATAAATTCCGCAGGCAGCTGGGGTGGCTACCTATTCGATTCAGACGTCACGCTCATCTTCTTCAACTTCTATACTCAATTCTTTTCAATCCGAAAACCCCTTCTTATCTCAAAAATCACTTCAAATTCTTAGGTCCTTCTAACTATATGTTACGCTCTTCTAATAGATGTTTATTGGAAATTCCATCCCACACTTCATCCTTCTTAGGCAATTCATTTACGATCTCCGCCATTAAGTTGTGGAATACGCTGCCTGACTCCGTACGATTGGCTACCTCTCTGTCATCTTTTAAAACTCTTCTGTATAATCATTTCTTAACCTTATCCTATCCTCATCAATCGTGACTTGTATAATTCTTATGATTCCTTTTACATCACTATTCGCTGTTCATGTATTTGTAAGATTAGTTTTTAAGTTTTTAGTTTGTTATTAATATTTTTTTTTGTATTGCTTTAGATTAAGGATTCTCTCCAGCATATGTGCCTTTTTTTAGTTTTTCTCTTAACTAGGATTGCCTTGAAGGTCCATCTTATTTTTTATTGTGTTTTTATATTTTAAGTGTAAATATTTATTGATACATTTATTTCTTTTTAGGTTTAAGGTTGTAACTTGGCCATATTTCCTGTGCTTTTTGAAGAAGCAAATTATTTATCGGGCATCCATGTTCCATCTTCGCGCATAATCTGTCTAACAACAACGTTCTTACCATATACCAAACTATAAATACATCTTTTGGTTTTTTATACCTCACATAATACAGTGTAACAAAAAATATATAATAAATATTCGACCCAATTTGCCGAACTGCCGTTGAATCTCAAGTAATTCCCGTACAAAGAGGAAAGTTTAACGCACTTTTAATAACTCAAGCTAAGTGTTTTGGCGATGGCACTTTAATGGATGCTTGTTTTGCTTTGATCCCGATTGGATTTAAGATTTCGATACTTAACCTTTCAGTTCTATTCTCAACTTTGGAACAATACGGTTTTATAATTTAACTTTTGGCAAACAATGACTACAAATTTTTATGCTTAGGTAACTACGGTTAATAATTAATATAGCTATTAGAATTCAAAGAAAAAAAAATTTCTTTTAACCGGATTAAAGTTATGTATTATTATAAATTTACAATTATTTAACATCATTTTAAATTTAACCGACGTTTCGCGTGCTTTACAGCGTGCATGGTCACGGTGACCACTTTATAATAATACATAACTTTAATCCGGTTAAAAAGATTTTTCTTTAAATGTGTAAAGGTTATGTCAATAAAAGACAATACTAAGCTATTAGAATGTCAAATTAGATGCAAATATTCAGAATAATGTGACCTTTATCTCCAGTAAGGTATAATAGATATATTACTTTACAATCATTAAAATTTAGCGATTAAGAAAAGTTGAAGAGCGTTTATAGACTAATGCCTTGTACGCCCATCGTTTGGGAACAGGCAGTAAATGTAAAATTATTATGCTGCAACCCCTGGTCTTAGCCTGGTCTAATTGAGCGTTTTTTAAGGCAGTTTTTGCCGCGCACTACCAGCTGCCCACTGAAGTATTTCCGAACCAATCCGGTTTAGTGTTCTTCAAGGCGTACCAATTCTTAAAAGGTGGCAATGCACCCGCGAGCCCTCTGGAAATTTGAGTATCTATCACTTAATATGAGGCGAGCCTCCTGCCCGTTTGCCCCTATTAAAAAAAGAAGATTATATTATGCCTTCAAGCCAGACACAAGCCGTTGATTCCCATCTTGCGTTTGTTTTAGGAGTTTCACAACCAAATTTTGTCTATTTCAATAAACATTTGATAATCAAGCATTTGAATTATACACACGTTCTGAATGAGGCAAAAACCTATCAATCAAAGGTAGTGGAACTCTATGTGCTGTTTGTTACAGGTGCACAATGCCACGTGTGAAGAAATGCCTCATATACATCGGTGTGGCAGCTTTTCTTCACCAGTTTCCTCGTTTCTTCGAGAAGGAGTACGTTCCCCACTTCACTGTATGGAGGGGGCATAGAGAGGAAGTTTGCAGAGTAAGTAAATTTATTAAAATGCTGTTATATACATAAAAATATGTAAAAACAACAAACGTGGTACTGAAAACATCTGCATTACCCCAGTTAATGTAAACACACCCCGAACACATAATATACCTGGAGAATCTACTCTCACTGAGAACGGATAGTTCAGCAATTTCAAGTAAGAAATAAAAATGAAACAGTTTTGCAGCCTGCGACACCAAATCGTCGTCCCATGGAATATAGTCCCAGCAAATTAAACTACATATATGTGTATAATTTATTTCATGTGAAATAAATTATACATGCTTCACATCAGCTGGATCCAGAGAGTGACGAATGTAAGAGTCCTTCAACCAAACGGACGACACGAAAGTTTATGCAGAATGTTAAAACACGGAAAGTCACATATCTCAGACACGTTTTGCTTCATCATCTATAGGACTTGTTCTAGCTTATAATGATGGGCAAAATTTAAGGCAAAAGACCAAAATTTAATTTATACACGAGTAACTATACCAGGAATAATCTATTTCATGATTTTAATCTCGAGTAAATTCATAGTCGTTTCTCCACGTAATCGATAGTATAATTGAGCTAGGAATAACAATACGCGAATAGCAAAGAGAATGGTGAACGAAAATAAAACTCGGCAAATAAATTTTGTTCTACAACGGGACAGAGTAAGAGCATACATCATGTCAACTCGATTTTGCCGTATTATAGTGTGAAAAAGTAGCTGTTTGGCAGGTGTCAAACGACAACAAAAAGTTTTTATTTGTTTGTTTGAGGTTGTCGTCTAAAAAGGAACTTCTGTTGAGCCTAGTTGAATTTCATTCTTATATTATAGAAAATGAAAAAACTAAAAATAAATAAATAAATAATAAATTGTTTAAACGTTTCATTATACAACGCCAGACTATTAATTTAGTGCGTTGCGTTGACTTGAAATGAAAACACAGAATACAAATTTGTGAAATGACAGAAATCAGCTGATTGGACTGACTGACGCCATTAAATTATTCTAGGAATAGCTGTTATTCCGTGCGAAACGGCGGTATAGTAACAATTCCCGAATAGGCCCACTATTCTTAGAATTTTTAGATGGTAAAACGTAAAATTGATTTACTCAAGATTAACTGACGATTTATTCTAAGATTAAGATTTACTCTTGTTTGGTCGTTTCGACCCTTAACTGTATAATCATGAAGTAAGGACTTATTTATGTTATTAATAAATAAGTCCTTTTTACCATCTAAAACTATGGACAAAAACACATAATAATATTTTAACGAACATTGATGAAATGAAACATTTTTTTCGTTTCCTGTAATGATTGGTTCTCTGGACATTCGAGGTTACCATTCTACAGCGACATTATAAATAAATTAGGATAGTTCTTTATGAACAACCCAGGTGAGATTCAGTGTGAGACTTGGCGCTGTGAAATGTGTTTGTATTTTACCCTAAAAACCGCAGTAGCTGCTAAAAACCCTTAAACATTTTCATTCCACTAAATTGCCAATGTAATTTTTCGTCCACAGACCAAATAGGCTCTATAATAAAACGGTATATATAAAGAGATTAAGAAGGTTACTCGTTAAACGGTATTGCACTTGACCGGTTAAAAATATAGCTACAAGTTTGGTAATTGGGGTGAATTTAACAAGCATTTCAAGGGCATTTTAAGTTTTTTGCTCCTTTTGAGTGTGTTAAAGAAAATTCTAAGTATGTAAATAATTTATTTATTTATTTATGGCCTTATAACAGAAATACAAAATAAATACATTATAACTATTCTACGATAACTGATTATGTGTGCCTACGGGCAAAGGCCTCCCCCATTGTCCTCCATTTTTCCTTATTGTATACCAATCTCGTCCAGGTCTTAGTCTTTCCAGCCATTTCCATGATTCTATCCATGTCCATCTTTTAAATTGCCTACCTCTGTTTCTTTTATGGCCTCTTGGTTGCCATAGTGTTACAATTTTGCTCCATTTATCTGCTCCTCTCATTGTATGTCCAGTCCATTTAAATAATAATGGACAATTATTATATTGATTAAAAAAAACAACTATATATTCCAAATTTAAATTTATACCTCAAAGTAGCATCGTTTTCGGCGAATTTTTATAAATGCATTTTCCTTATGGAAAGTAGTTTCTAAACTCTATTTATAATTTACGCACCATTAACTTGGGACGTAAGTCATATGAAACAAGGGTTGCGAATATATGCTATTAGGAAGCAGGTACAAAACAAAGTTATAAATTACTTTTCCCCTCTACTAAGACATTTATACTGATTATTCTTTCAGTGTGACGTACTAACAGTAAATAAGCGAGACGTTTTTCTAAGACAAATACTTAAAAATGGTATTTTTTACTCGTCGTTGATTAAAACTAAACGGGTTATTTAATAAGCATTCAATCGTCATAGTAAAGCATACATCTTTGATTTTTCAGTAACATTTTTTTTACAGGTTAATTATAAACATTTAAAAATACTTCGTTTTGAAGGAAGATTGATTCTCCATGTTATCTATACCTACACTATATTTTTGACTTATTTATTGTACAAAAAAATAATATATATATAATATATTTATATATATATATATATTATAAATAAATTTATTTCCAACACACAAATGCACAAAACAGAAGAACAATAAAAACAATAAAAATATAAAATAAAAACCTTTTTATTTCTTGCAAAAGAACAGAGTTAACTTAATACTATTTTTACAAATATATTTTAAGAAAGTAAATTAACAATTATTATTATTATTATTTTTTCCTAATATTTGTATATATTTCTCAATTATTATTTTGCAAGAACCCTTCCCAGGTGTAGGCCTCCTCAGGGAACTCCATTATTCGATTTTGGTGACTCTCAGCTCCAGCCGTTTGACAATGTCGTCCGCCCATCTCGTGAGCGGTCTTCCTCTTTTCGTTTCCCAATAGGGCCACCCCACCTGGTCACCCTATGGTCCATCGATCGTCAAGAGTCTTGCTACATACCTGCCCATCTCCATTTAAGCTTTAGAGCATAGTTTAGGGCATCAGTAGCTTTAGTAACCTTCTTATTTTTGAGTGTCTTATTTTATTAATTTTTCTAATGTTAAGCATGCTCCGTTCTAGCCCCTTTGACAAGTTCTGATTTTTCTTTTTTATCTTCTCTGTATATTTCCAAGTCTGGCAAGCATATGTTAGACATGCAAGAGAAGCTCACATCTTTGGTTTTAAGTGATACTGGCATATTGCTTTTAAAAATTTCCTTTAGACTTCAGAACTTGTTCCAAGTGTGTTAATTCGCCTTTCAATTTCTAAATAGTTGTTGTCCTTTTCAAAGCTGATTTGTTTTCCTAGGTAAACATAATTGTTTGTATATTTCAGAATTTCTCTATGACCATACTGTCATTTCCATACTGTTTGTCATTAACATTGTCTTTGTGAGGTTCATCTCTAGACCTACCTTCTTGCTAGCCGCATTTAATGATTGAATCATGACTTGTAATTGTGAGCTTATTCGGATACAAGCACTAAGTCATCAGCAAAGCGCAGGTGACTCAGGTATTTTCCGTTAATATTAAGGCCGCTTTGCCCCAGTCTAGATTTCTTATTATCGACTCAGGATGGCAATAAACAGCATAGGTGATGTCGGGTCGCCTTTCTCACACCCTCTTTTTATGGGAAAGCTTGGGCCGACTTTCTCTAGTTTGACTCTGCCCGTTTGTTACTATATATACTCTTTAATATTTGTATATACTCCGTCGCTACCCCCTTGCTCCGTTAGTGCTTTCCAGATGCTTGCATAGACGGTGTCGAATGTTTTTTATCATGTAACATATAAAGTGCTCGTGTCTCTCTTGTTTTTTCAATAATCCAGAGTGTGGATGTGGAACATAAAACTCTTTCTGAATCCCCTTGCTCCATTGGTTGTTCTCATCTATATGATACTTATTCTTCGGTTTATAAGAGATGAGAATAGTTTGTATAAGCACGGTAGTAGCTTATTGGTCTATAATTCAACATCACATGGTCGCCCTTTTTATAAATCAGTATTATATCTACTCTACCATTTGTCGGTGTTTTAGCATTTTCCAAAATACGGTTGAACAATTGAGTAGGGTACTGCCAGTAATGACTGCACTGATTTTATAGACTCGTTTGTGATGTGGTCTGAGCCAGGACTTTTGTTTGTTTTTAGTCTATTAATTGCTTGCCATAACTTCTGGTACGGTGAATTCTATACATCGAGTTGAGATTAGGTCGGACTGTAGTATATTATGGTCAGTGGCATTTTCGCACAAATCCTACGCTGTAGAGTGTTTTATAGAAGTTAGTTGCTATTCCTATGATATCGTTGCGATTGCTTAGGATTTTCCTTTACTTTTTAAACCGTCTATCCATGTTTTGTTTGTCCTCAACTGTTTGTATGCTTTTTTGAGCTTCCTGATCGCATTAGATGTTTTCCCAGGCTTCCGATCTATACTTTGTATAGTCGCTTTTTATACGCCTGCTTACTAGCTTTATAACGCTGAAAGTTCGTTTTTCTAGACCTAGACTTATTCTTGGTATTTTGCAAAGCTTTCTTCTCTTCAAAAGTGCTAAAGTACGCTGTGATAAAATCGTATGTCTTGTGTCTTTATTACTTATTCTAGCTTCTTGGAGGCTGTGTGTGATTGCTCTTAGTATGTTGTCGTGTAAATTTTGTACCGATAAACTATTTTCTTCTAGTATGTTTGGTAGATGGCTGTGATGCATTCCTTTATATTTGTTTATTTCTTCTTCGCTTTGTAGGGTGGCATTAGGAGTGCTATTAAATCCTAGTCCGGTTCTTTTTTTTTTGGACAATGATTATTGTTGCTCCTCCTACTGGTCTATGGTCCGACGAAAAGTTGAGATTCAAAACATCCATGTTGTGTACAATGCTAGGTCTGTTTGATAGAACATAATCTTATTTCGTTTTTGTACTCTCCGTTAGGTGAGCGCCATGTCCATCTACGTTCC